ACATTGGGTGAGACAATCTTACTAATTTGCTTGAGAACCAGTTCGGATTTAAGTATAACTTTTGTATGACTGAAGCTTTTAGTGATAGGTCTAATGCTTTAATATTTAATAATTTATGTCCTCTGAATTCATATTCATTATATAAATATGCTCTTTTAGTTTTGTCTGCCTTGCCGTTCCAAATAAAATTGAATATTTTTTTCTCATATAATTTAAAAAACTGTTCGCTAGGCGTCGGCAAGACCATAAGCAAATAGGTAAACTGGGATAATACTAAAGAGTTAATCAGGGTGATTTTTCCACAAATTGACTGGTATTTTCCTTTCCATGGTAGTAAGATCTTATCTATTTTTGCGAACTTTCTATTAAAATGTATTGAAGTGAGATCATTTATTTCCTTTGGGACATGTATTCCGAGTATATCCACATCACCATCAGACCATTTTATTGGTAAACTACATGGTAATGTAAAAATTGTATTTTTTAGTGATCCAATACGTAATATAGTACATTTGTCATAATTTGGTTGTAATCCAGAGAGGTTAGAAAATGTATCTAGATCCTCTATGAGGCTGTGGAGGGATTCTAGTTGTGGATTTAAAAGAAAACAACATGAATCATCAGCGTACTATGACACCTTTGTTTTTAAGCCCTGTATTTCTAATCCTCTGATATTATTATTGGATCTGATTTTAATAGCTAACATCTCGATGGCCACAATAAATAGATATGCCGATAGTGGACAACCTTGTTTCACTCCTCTTGACAATTTAAAACTTTCTGAGAAATAGCCATTATTTACTATTTTACACCTAGGGTTACTATACATGATTTTGACCCATTTTATAAGAGATTCTCCAAAATTGAAATGCTCCAGGCATTTATATATAAACCCCAGTCGAACTTTATCAAATGCCTTTTCGAAGTCTGCTATGAATAGCAGGCCTGGTTTCCCATATTTTCCATAGTGTTCTATTGTTTCCAATACTTGCCTTATATTATCTCCAATGTATCTTCCATGTAAAAAAAACCTGTCTGATTAGAATGAATAATATCCGACAATACCTTTTTAATTCTATGCGCTATACATTTTGCTAGGATTTTTGCATCACAACACTGAAGTGTAAGGGGCCTCCAATTTTGTAAATGGACTGGATCTTTATATTTTCCACTTGTATCCTGTTTCAGTAATAATGAGATCAGACCTTCTTTTTGAGTGTCAGATAATCTACCATTTACATAGGAGTTGTTAAAACATGCTAATAACGGTCCTCTTAGTATATCAAAAAAGGTTTGGTATACCTCGACTGGTATGCCATCCAACCCTGGAGTTTTCCCGGACTTAAAGTATTTAATTGCATCCAGAAGTTCCTCTGTAATTTCACCTTCACATGAGTCTTTCTGTGTGGCTGTTAATTTGACATTATCAATAGAAAAAAATCTCTACAATTAGCTTAAGTTAGAGGAGATGGAGGCGACTGAAACGAAAACATATGCTTAAAGTACTTTGTTTCTTCCTTCAAAATATCATTTGGTGAATTATGGGTGACTCCGTCAATTGTAACCAGTTTCATTAAGTTCTTTTTGGTATCATTCCTATGTTGAAGATTAAAAAAGAATTTTGTGCATTTTTCCCCATATTCCATCCAGTTTGCTTTATTTTAATAATATATTACACTTGATCTTTCTTGAAGAAGTTTCTCCATTTCTTTTAGTTTTTCCTCTAATTTATTCTGAGCCTCTATGTTACAGTTTTTATTGCCATCTATCTGTTCTGTTAGACTTTCTATTTCCTTTCTTAGTATAAACTCTTTTGACCTAAATTGCTTTTGTTTTCGAGATGAGTACTGAATTGCATGGCCTCTAAAGGCACATTTTAAAGGTGTCCCATACAATAAGGGGATTCGCTGTACCTATGTTATGTTGGAAAAAGTCAGTTATAAATTCCTTTGTTCTAATTATAAATAAATTATCATCCAATAGGCTTTGATTAAATTTCCAATATCCTCGCCCACGTGGAAATTCAGTAAGAGTAATGTATATGCCTATTATATGATGGTCCGACCGCATTCTGTCCCCTATCAACACTTTTTTTTACTTTTGGTGCCAACAAGAATGAGATAAGAAAGAAGTCAAGACGACTAGCTTGATTCAGTCTCCGCCATGTATATCTCACTAGATCAGTATATTTAAGCCTCCATATATCTACTAGTTCTAATGTATCCATGACATTCACAATTTCCTTAAGAGCATGTGGGTGATTGTTTGTGGTGTGATTTCCTTTACGGTCCATTGAGCTATTTAAAACAGTATTATAATCCCCCACCATAATAATATTGTCTTGAGTTGCTTGCAGGCTTGATCATTTATTATATATATTGTCAAAGAATTGTGGATCATCATTATTTGGTCCGTAAAGGTTAATGAGCCATATCTGTTTATGGTCCAATAACATATTTAAAATAATCCATCTACCTTGCGTATCTATTTGGACAATTTGCACATTCGGATCGAAATTACTATTAATTAATATCATCACCCCTTTTGAATTTCTTTGCCCATGGGAGAAGTATATTTCCCCCCCCCCCCCATTCTTTTTTCCACGCTACTTCATCTCGAATTGTTGAATGAGTTTCCTGTATACAATAGATATTATATTCCTTCTCTTTGAGCCATGTAAATATTGTTCTTCTTTTGTTATTATCAGCTAAGCCATTACAATTATAACTGGCTATACTTATTTCACCATACACCATAATGAGATACAAGTTTCAAGTCTATTTATCATTATATATGTTTGTAAATTTACCAATAAAAAATAGCGTAATGATTGAGTGTCCATATAGCTGTACCGTGATATTTGCATTGCTACGGAGTAACCCTTCAATTGTTCTCCACTAATTCCCCCGCTAAAGCCCCTCACCATCCCAAGTTGAGCCGTCATAATTTCCGCCAAAAGCATTTCCAATGCTTTCACCTCATATATATATATATATATATAAAACTATTTTTTTTAAATTATACATATCCTATTTTCCATCATTATCAATTAATATGCGTAATAATGTCGGGAGTTCACGCGTAGGATTCTAACATATAACCCGGATTGCCATTGTATTACATTTAATTCATTGACAAGCAATTATTATCCTAGCAAATAATTCCCGTGGTCCATCCCCTCCCCCCCCCAACATCCCCACCCCCCCACAACAGATGCCAGACAAGCACACACTCACATACTCCAACACACTCAACCCTCCTCCTCCACAATCCACCATAAAATCAGATACTCAACGGCTGTTATATCCCAGAGCCCAACTCGAGAAATAACTTGATTTACGAGTGCACATACAGTTAAAGCTGATTGAGAAAGCATGCAAATTGAGCAGAAATTGATAACAATGTGAGATTTGATTAATCTACTTAATCTATGTCAAGTCCTAGGTGATGGAGATCAGATCCACCCTCTTCACCTGAGACACAAACACTCTGATCCCCTGTTGTAACCATTTTCCCAAGCATCTCCATGCGGTCAGACCTTTGATTATTTTGTGCCACCTGGGCCACAATGATAAACCCCCTCTCTGATTGTCCGAGTGTGACCCCCCTCCCCATGGTTTACTGCAGCCAGTGTTGCCAGCACTGCCACTACCTGGGTGGGCGTACCCCACCGGAATCCCCACTGGCTAGGTAAAAGGTTGTCAAGGTTCTCATTAGCAGCTTTGAGAATTTCCTTGTATATTATGCTCTCCCATCAGGGGGCTCTGGCTTTGTAGGACCAACCCTGCCAGGCAGGCTCAGAATCTTGAGGGGGTGGTGATGCTCAACTAGGTCTCTGACCACATTTATTTCTCTGTTTAGGCTGCATATTCACAGCAGGTCCATAAAAGAGATGGGAACTTCTCTTTGGTGTATGGGTCGCTCAGGTGGGTGTCCAGGTTATAGGGTTAGGGATCTTTCCATCATGATAGGACAATGAAAAATTAGATTAGATGTATACTATATTTAAAATGTATATCCCTCATCTACACAAAATTGAAAGCTCTCTCTCACTACCCCTGCTCGGCTCTGGGATATGCAACCATTTCCCCCCTCACTCACTTAACGCCGCACCTTTTCAAACACTAAAATGCACACCACATGGTTGACTGCGGAAGAAATGGGCCGAGCGTGCAAACGCACCCGCATCCACATCTGCCGCAAGGGGGAAAGGACGCCAGAGAGAACACAGGACCAACCACAACAACCATCCGCCAAAACAACAACCTCCCGCCAAAAAAGCCATGTTCTAATTATTTGTATTTAAAGATGTATTATTCTGCTTGTTATATCGTTTTATCCTTTTATAAAATACTATACTTACTATAAATGTTATTTAATATTACAATCCCTATAATTGCTAGTATCAGGTGCTCCAATATTTGACTCCTCTATTACAACTTTTAGAATAGCCATGGAGTAGACTTTGTGTCTCTGAACATTTGGTTGTCAATATATAATTTATCCACCACTAGTGCAACACGTTTCCCTTTTAATCTGTATTCCTTGAAGATGGATACAGAACTTTGCGCCTTTCTACAATCTCCCTCGGGAACTGATCATTCATGCCTATCATTCACTGTCGTTTCTCTTTGCTTATTTGAGCTGTTCTTGCCAAAGACTTGGTCTTTTACCAAATAGGGCTATCTTATGTATAACCCCCACTACCTTGTCACAACACAACTGATTGGCTCAAATGCATTAAGAAGGAAAGAAATTCCACAAATGAACTTTATAAAGGGTGGCTATTTGAAGAATCTCAAATATAACATATTTTGATTTGTTTAACACTTTTTTGGTTACTACATGATTCCATATGTGTTATTTCATAGTTTTGATGTCTTCACTATTATTCTAAAATGTAAAAATAAAGAAAAACCCTTGAATAAGTAGGTGTGTCCAAACTTTTGACTGGGAGTGTATGTATACTTTTTTTCTAGACAAACATCCTGAGAACACATATGATCACCCACAGTGAGAATAAGAATTTCCCCTGTGAGCACTGTGGGAGTGCCTTCCGCACTAAAGGCTCCCTGATTCGTCACAACCGCCGTCACACAGGTACAGTGGACTGGGAGGGGGCGGGCTCAGAATGAGATGTTTGCGCTTGTGGCATACGCAGCTTCATTTCCTATCTCCATCACCAGTCTCTCTCCCCCTCTTCCCGCAGACGAGCGGCCGTACCGCTGTAACCTGTGTGGGCTCTCCTTCAGGGAGTCAGGGGCTCTGACCAGACATCTCAAGTCCATCACCCCCTGCACTGAGAAGATCCGCTTCAACCAGTACAAGGAGATCCTCGTCAGCAAGGACGGACAGCAGAAAGGTAGCAGTCTGTCAAAAGATTGAGGGAGGGATCATGCATGTATGGATGAATGGATATGGATGGATGGTAGGATACATACACTAAATGACCAAAAGTATGTGGACACCTGCTTGTCTCATTCCAAAATCATGGTCATTAATATGGAGTTGGTCCCCCCCATTTGCTACTATAACAGCCTTCAATCTTCTGGGAAGGCTTTCCACTAGATGTTGGAACATTGCTGCGGGGACTTGCTTCCATTCAGCCACGAGCATTAGTGAGGTCGGGAGTTCGATGGAGTTGAGGTCAGGGTTCTGTCAAGTTCTTCCACATTGATCTCGAAAAACCATTTCTGTATAGACCTCGCTTTGTGCACGGGGGTATTGTGATGCTGAAATAGGAACGGGCCTTCCCCAAACTGTTGCCACAAAGTTGGAAGCACAGAATCGTCTAGAATGTCGTTGTATGCTGTAGTGTTAAGATTTCCCTTCACTGGAACGAAGGGGCCAAGCCCAAACCATGAAAAACAGCCCCAGACCATTATTCCTCCTCCACCAAACTTTACAGTTGTCACTATGCATTTCGGGCAGGTGGTGTTCTCCTGACAATCCTCCAAACCCAGATTCTTCCATCGGACTGCCAGATGGTGAAGTGCGATTCATCACTCCGGAGAACGCGTTTCCACTGCTCCAGAATCCAATGGTTGCAATCTTTACACCACTCCAGCCGAGGCTTGGCATTACGCATGGTGATCTTAGGCTTGTGTGCGGCTGCTCGACCATGGAAACCCATTTCATGAAGCTCTCGACTAACAGTTCTTGTGCTGATATTGCTTCCAGAGGCAGTTTGGAACTCGGTAGTGAGTGTTGCAAACACTCGACAATCCCGTTCTGTGTGGCCTACCACTTCGCGTCTGGGCCGTTGTTGCTCCTAGACTTTTCCACTTCACAATAACAGCACTTACAGTTGACCGGGGCAGCTCTAGCAGGGCAGACATTTGACGAACTGACTTGTTGGAAAGGTGGCATCCTATGACGTTGCCACGTTGAAAGTCACTGAGCTCTTCAGTGAGGCCATTCGACTGCCAATGTTTGTCTATGGAGATTGCTTGGCTGTGTGCTCGATTTTATACACCTGTCAACGGGTGTGGCTGAAATAGCCGTATCCACTAATTTGAAGGGGTGTCCACATACTTTTGTGTATATGTAAAGAGATAAATATATGGATAGATGGAAAGAGAAATATATGGATAGAAAGAGAAATATTTATTGATCGATCGGTAGATAAGGTATTGATGGTGTCATGTTTTTATTTCAGGAGTGGAGGCAGAGGCCGCCTCATTGGCTGCTCAGCAAGAAGTGGACCAGCAGGAGGAAGAGGAAGCGCAGGCGGCGTTGGTCAGCGTGGTGGAGGCTGACAGTGGAGGACAGGAAGTCATCCACGAGGTCCACTTCCACATGGAGGTGGAGGGAGAAGGGCAGGAACAGCAGGTGTGTGGAGATCTGGATGCATTTCAGTACTGTAAACTGTCTTCCTCGTCTCCTCTCTCACCTTTTAATTTGTACTGATCTGAAAACACAGGATAGGTAAAGGCCATGTTGTGAATGCCTACAAAATGCCTGTCCATTTCTATCACATTAGTGCAGATGAAAGGAAATAGAGAAACACATGCATTTCCTTTGTATCCCAAATCCCTGTTGACGTTTATTACAACCTCTTTATCCCTGTTGACGTTTATTACAACCTCTTTGGATGTCACACATTTTTCCTAGAGCCATGTTTGACCCTCTGTTCTTGTCTGGTTGCCTGTCCCCAGCTTCTATTGGAGCAGTCTCAGGCAGAGGCCCTGGTGGCCGAGGGGGACAACCTCATCTGCCAGGCCATCATAAACTCTGGCATCGCCCTGGAGGCGCTCACTGAGACTGAGGAGGTGGAGTCAGTTGAGGAGCAGGCACTGGACGGGATGCCTGAAGAGGTCCTGCAGGACAGGGACGTGGAGGGCAGGGTGACGGAGATCCAGGTGATGGAGGAGTGTGTGGAGATGGAGGCTGAGGAGATGGGGGTGAGTTAGTCAATGGGGGAATTAATTTAACATTTTACCAACTGTGTATTTTATTATCTAAATGTGTTTTATCCTTGTATATTTTCCAGTACCATGCTGGATAAATAAGTACTAAAGAAATGTAAAAAGCTTTTAGTTAGAAATCCGTCACCACACAGACAATTTTATTTTCAATTATCAGAGACACAAAAATGTCTTTCTCTGTTTGTTCCTTCTCTAATAGTGCATGTCTTCTAATACTCTCACCTACAGCTTGTGGTTGATAAACATGATGTATACGCTCACCTACAGTATGTGGTTGATAAACATGATGTATACTCTCACCTACAGCATGTGGTTGATAAACATGATGTATACTCTCACCTACAGCATGTGGTTGATAAACATGATGTATACTCTCACCTACAGCATGTGGTTGATAAACATGATGTATACTCTCACCTACAGCATGTGGTTGATAAACATGATGTATACTCTCACCTACAGCATGTGGTTGATAAACATGATGTATACTCTCACCTACAGCATGTGGTTGATAAACATGATGTATACTCTCACCTACAGCATGTGGTTGATAAACATGATGCATGTCCCTTTCCCTGTCCTGTAGGACATGTCTGACAAGCAGGAGGATCTGCCGCCGTCTAAAATGCACAAGTGTCCTCACTGTAGTCGCTCCTTTAAGGCGCTCAACTACCTCCGCTTCCATGTCAAAGGTCACTTCGGTAAGACCACTGTCTCCATGTCTTTTTAATGATTTCCTTTAATGCTAGACTCAGCATAACCCATTAGTCAACACACACACCATAGGTGATCCATTGATATCAAATGATGAATTGTGGTGATAAAAGGATTCAGCCAAGGTTTCAAAATCAGATGCATTTATATCACATATTCCCTGTGTCTTACATTGTTTTCTCAAATCTCCCCAGTGCCTCTATACCTGGGTCGTGTTCATTAGTCTCCAAGGAAACTGGTCTGATGGGGAGGTACTACCTGTTGCGTTCACTAATGAACACGACCTACAGCAGCTCATTATGCATGTTCTCATTTCTGCAGGCTACAAGCCCTTCAAGTGTGTGATGTGTCTGAAGGAGTTCCTGACAGGCTACCTGTTGAAGAAGCACATGGAGGTCCACCGGAGTGAGAGGAGGTACAAGTGTGGCGAGTGCGGCAAGCTCTACAAGACCATCGGACACGTCCGTGAACACATGAGGGCCCACTCAGAGGAACGGCCGTACAACTGCAACAGCTGTGACAAGGGATACAAGACCAAGGTTTGTCCATACTCAACTTTTATTTAATTTGAACCAAGGAAGCGACAAGCAGGCAAAATATTCTGTCTGAAAGTTGTTGAATTCCTGGTTTTCGTAAGTTTTTTATTTTGTTTCTTAAATGGCAGGAGTCTGCTAATGTTAAGTCAAGTTTCGGCGCTTCTTCGATTGAGTGGTTATTTCAGTAATTTTTCTCGCATGTCAGAAGTGAATTGGTTGACTAACCGATAGATGATGAATTCATTAACTACCATGTAAACCTTGGTTCCTAAACTTTTCCCCTCCCCTTTTGTCCCAGAATGCCTTGCAGGTGCACCAGCGGACGCACGCCCAGGAGAAGCCATATGTGTGCCAGTTCTGCTCGCGGGGCTTCAGGGAGAAGGGCTCTCTGGTGCGCCACATCCGCCATCACACCGGAGAGAAGCCGTTCAAGTGTCACAAGTGTGGGCGGGGCTTCGCCGAGCATGGCACTCTCAACCGCCACTTACGTGCCAAAGGTCAGAATGATTAACACCTGTCTCCTGGGTCATGTATAGCATTAAGATGATTCATAAGATTAATTTCAGATACATCGGATCCTATCAGTGATATTACTGTTGCTATTCTTTATGCTTGTACTGGCCCTGATTTTAATTGATGAAGTAATAGATTTTCCATATTATCTTATACAGGTTATCAATTCAACAATGGACACAAGCAAACAGTCAAATAGCACTACACAGGATTACATTGATTTGTTCTTTATGTGTATCCTAGGGGGCTGTTATGTGGGCCAGAAGGAGGGGTCTGGGGAGGAAGGCGTGGTGGTCTCAGAGGAGCAGGCGTCTGCAGACAGCCTGGCCACAGCAGCCATCATGTCAGACGACCCCCACGCCGTGCTGGTGGAGTTCTCCTCTGTGGTGGCTGACACCCAGGAGTACATCATTAGGGTGAGACCATTATAGATGGGCGGGGGGGGGGGGGTTATTCTCCTAATGGATGTATTACCTATTTCACACTGCTGAAAATGTGAATGTAATAAATCCAGACTTTTTGCTGAATTCACTGAATGTTTCAACTTGACCTGGCATAGCTTTAGGCACAAACACAGACAAGGTGCTGCTGTAAACATAATTGTTAATAGCATATTGATCTGTGTTTTTCTCTCAGAAATTAGATGCATCATCACATTCACAAATGATGCTGTCAGTATGTATGGAAGGTTCTGTAGTTCACGTGTCCTGTCTCTCCTCTCTTGCTCTCTTCTCCCCAGGCCCAAGGAGAGGAGGAGGAGGAGGAGGAGGAGGAGGAGGGGCAGGGCGAGGAGGTGACTCTCATCCAAGACAACCAGAATCAGGTCAGTGCTCTGCTCTCCTGTTTCTCCTGGAGCCAAGAAATGGTGTTCTAGTGGTTTTATGTCTTGATGGCTTAGACTAGCGCTGGCCTACCTCAAAACATACAACAGTCCCACCTTTTTAATGTTTGCTCGTTCATAGCCGTATATTTAACATGCGACCAAAGCTAGATTTCCATCCAATTAGCGACAGATTTTCACGCAAATATTCTAAAATCTGCAATTTTTTCCACCATTGATGTTTCCACCAAACTGACATCAGTGTGTGTTGACGTAGTGCACACAAAATGTTATTTTTCGCTTACGTTTTCATATACTGAATAAAAATTGAAAGTTCAATGTGTTTCCATCGCATTTTCAACTCTACCGAAAACGGTTAAATAGCACGTGCCTACTCTGGTCTCTAGCCAACAGCTCGCCGATACATTGTGGGTAGGCTAGTCTACATGATGAGATTATTATGGATAATATTTGTAATTGTCAATTGGCAGTCAAGCATCGATCATCATGTCTCCAGAATAAGACCCTTGATATTTATTGAAAAGGAGCATCAAGCTCATCACCATGCACTTTCACCACCCTGTGAAGTTCATCATAACACAAAAGATACAGCCATGTTGAATACAATTGTACCAAAACTTCCTGTTTCCATCACAGCTGTCATGATTAATTTTTTTAATATGGTATGACTTGCATAAAAACAGGGATGGAAACATTAATGTCCACATAGATAAATCAACTATTAGGTAGACATTAAGAAGGCATCTCAATACTCATCCCCCGCTCTCTTACCCACCTTTCAGATGGGCAACCACATCATGAAGGTGGTGCAGCAGATCGTCAACCAATCGCGTGGCAGCGTCGGCGGCCACCAAATCATTGTGCGCAACGTCTCCATGGACGAGGGCACATCCATCTCCGACTGCGGCGACACCATCACCATAGCGACGCCCGAGAACCTGACCGCGCAGGTTGCCATGACGCTGGCCTCAGCCATCAGCGACGGAACCCTTCTGGCGGGAGGCGGCGCCCTGGAGACGCCCGATGGCACGGTCACCATGGTAACGACAACGGGGGGCGAGGACATGGTCGAGGTGATGGAGCACCAGGAGGAAGAGTTTGTTATTACGTCATCGGAGGAGGTGGAGATCCAGACAGTCATCATATGAGGACTTTGTGTTATGAGGACAGTGTGTTATGAAGAGTGTCTTATGAAAACTCAGGACTTTGGGTGAGTTATGAGGATGGTGTGTCTTATGAGGACCGAATGTCTTATGAAGAGTTTCTAATGAGAACTCAGGAATTTGAATGAGAACGTTGGTCTATGTTTGAGGAGTTACGTTGTATAATGTCTGTTCTGTCTGCTTTTGAATGAGGACGAAGCACTTGAGTTTTTGTGAAGACCAAGGACGGTGTGCATGAGGACTGTCATTGTATAAGGTTGAAAGATTCTGTTTGCATAAAGTTTGACATTTTATTGGACGGCATTACAGTAGATTTCTATTGGGTAAGGATTGCAATCATTTATAGGAAGGGTATTGTCTTATGTCACTGAAGTAAGGAGGACTGAAGTGTTAGTTTTACTTGGACAGGAGTGGAGTTGCCTTCATTTTGGTACATTTTCTTAACTGTAATGTCATTGCTTGTCAACACTGAGCAACCAATCACACGGTACAACAGTAGGCTTATAGCTAGGTCACAGGAGCTCAAGTACTTACATTTGCCTTGATTGTCTCCAAATCCCTAGAATTGTCACTGTTTCTGTTACACTTAGACGTTACACTAGGAAATATCAACTTTAGAAAATGCCCCCCCCCCCTTCCTTAAAACAATTATACTACCTAAAGACTCTGGAGTTGTTTACCTTTGACAGATTCATGATAAAATATTATGTTATGCTTGACCATAGACCATAGAAATGCTTTAGTGATTGATTGTGAGAGTCTGATGTGGGTTGTATTCATTAGGGCACACCATATTAAAACGTTTGGCAACGGAAAAACAAAATGAGCATTTCTTATTAGACAATGTCTACTCTTTGTTGCCTAATGAATATGACCGTGATCTGATACTGTTGGACTGTACTTCTGAGGTGTGTCTCAATACAGGCCCAGTGCTATTCTGAGGAGGTCAATTACATACCACCCTTACAGCAGGACAACTACGCCAACCAGGAGATGGACCGACAGACTGACACCTCATACTACTGCCAAATTCTGTGATCTATTACCTGACTGGCTCAGTTTGGGTGGAATGAATAAACTCTGTACTTCATCTTTGAGAATTGAGTTTCTGCAGAAGACTAAAAGGAATTTCTTTCAGTCTTGGGGATGTGTAAAATGTGCTTGTAAGAAGGAATGGATTAATGTTTGAATGATTCCTGTGTACAGTATACCTGACTGAAAATCTGATTTTAGTAGTGATCGGATGATTCATTTATTGATAGATTGATTGAGTCTGGTGTTTACAGTTGTCATAGGCAACCAAGCAGCTCTCAGTGGGCCCCAGATGGAGGAGTGGAATCATCAGCCTGGCAGATTCAGGACAAAGCAGCCTTGCTGCTCACCTTGCCCGTGGTGGTTGTTCCCTTCTGTCTCCTATTACTCTCACTCTTCTCATGTTACTACTTTTTTTCTTTTCACTCTTTTTTTACTCTCATGCCTGCTTTCTCTCTCATTCTTCTCAGGACTGTCAGAATGAAGACATACCTTTTCACCCCCCCTGTTTTTTTTGCACACCTGTCCTTACTCTGATAGATTCCTCTGAAGTATCATAGATGCAATGGGATCAGGCTACTTGACATGAATAAAACTAATAATCATTATGTCTTTGGCTTTTTCCTTCTCAGAGTCCCAAATCCCCCATAGTCTTCTACTGTAAGGTGAACAGGGCAGATGATGTAATGCCAATGGTGTATTGATGTATCATTTTCTGCAATTCTGATACCTTAAGTATTTTGTACAAACTATTTGTCTGTTGAATTAGGAAATATGAGCATAATTGTGTGTCCCATGGTGGATTCGTTATCATGTCTGTGGCTAACACAGTAAATAAAGTCATTTATTAGACACCTAATGAGGATGTCCCCATCTCTACTAAACAAAGCATTGATTCTGCCCTGTTGTATTCTACATACTGGCATGGTGATCTAGCCATTCATAACTAAACCCTACTTGGACATTGTCCAAACAAAGACACACATCACTTTGTTTCCCTGATTAGTTTCCTCATACTGTATGTTATTGAACATGATCATCTCTAGAGATTTATTTGGCAGAGTTTCACATGAGCCATGATCACTGTTAGAAAAGAGCTGCCTGCATCTCCCACTGTAAACACACTGATCACGAATCCATGGTGGTCAAGTCAGCCCCGGAGGGGTAAACACTGTTACCAATAGGAAATGGTTTCCTCAGGGCTCACACTGAGGGATACTGCCCAATTCCAAACTGACACCTCATCCCTACTCTTAGGTACTTTGTGTAGATCTGAAAGGTTATATGTGTAAGCAATGTGATGGCTGGTCCACGTAGCCTATTACAGTGCAAGGTGGAGCTATCACCATATTGCTATCATTTCAGATCTACAAGAGTAGTGTAAAGGTTGATTTGATATTGAACAGATGTCTCTCACTTTCTTTCAGGTAGCCAGTTTGGAGGAGGTGCAAGCTTGACATCAGTATCTAACAGGTAACCAGGATTTCTCTCGTGCTGATCATCAGCCAAGGTTCTTGATGTTACCATCAGGTATAACAGACATTCACCACCTTGCTCTTTCTCCTCGCCTCAGAAATGTAAGGATGGTATGCAACTGTAAGGATGGTATGCTACCTGGAATGTAAGGATGGTATGCTACCTGGAATGTAAGGATGGTATGCTACTGTAAGGATGGTATGCTACCTGGAATGTAAGGATGGTATGCTACTGTAAGGATGGTATGCTACCTGGAATGTAAGGATGGTATTCTACCTGGAATGTAAGGATGGTATGCTACTGTAAGGATGGTATGCTACTGTAAGGATGGTATGCTACCTGGAATGTAAGGATGGTATGCTACCTGGAATGTAAGGATGGTATGCTACTGTAAGGATGGTATTCTACCTGGAATGTAAGGATGGTATGCTACCTGGAATGTAAGGATGGTATGCTACCTGGAATGTGTTACCTTTAACCTGTTCTCTCAATGAGCCTAACCTTGAGGAGCCATTGAGGAGGGAACTGTGTGCCTACTGCCTATAGACTACAGTGCCTCAATACTGAGGTTGACACACTCTAATCAGTGACAAGTGTCCCTGGCTGGTTCTCCTCACTGTTTCTGGGTCAGTCCTCAGCCCTTAGAGAGGGCCCCATCTGAAAGAGCCAGAGCGAGAGAGGGTAGGAGGAGAGTGAGTGAGAAAGATAGAGAGGCAGAGGTATTTATAGAAAAATGGGGCTTCGCACTACCTTTTCTTGCAAAATAATCATTAGAGGACAAAGTGTCCCAGTTCTTGTATGGGTGCTCCGCAATAGCAGCTAGCTAGGGCTGTGGGCCGGCAGATCCTACCTGCGATGGGGAGCCTGACTTACAGACCGACTCCTCTCTCTCCCAGCCTCCTCCTCCTTCTTTGCTCCATACCTCTGGTTCTTTGATCCTGGAAAGGGAGACATCAGCCTACTTGTACACTGATGTGACCTCCTGAGAGGGCTTGGGTTGTAGGTCTTGGTGGGGGTGCTGGAGCTGGGTACGGGAGCCAGAGAGAGGGTAAGGGTGTGAGTGGGCACCAGAGACGGGGACTTTGGGCCGTTGGCTGGACGTGTCCTCGCGAACCTTGACCTCTCAGTGGACACCACCAGGGTCAAGATGAGGCGCTTTCTGAGCCGCAAGGGCCGCTTCTCACTGCGCCAGAGCAAGTCTGGACCTCGCGGTGCCTCCAAAGATTTCTGTAAGTCTTTACTTTAATTCCTTTTTATTATTCCTCTTATCTGCTTCATCCCTCTCTTCTGGAGAGAGGAGGAGAGACAGAAGATAACAAAAGGACTAAAGCTGTGTGTGTATCTAGGTCGCAGGCTTCACAACTATTTCAGATTTGGAGAAGGGAGAAGAAGGCTGTGGGAAGTTTAATCTCGACGGTGGGGTTGTGTGTCCTGGAACATCAGAGAAAGAAATGTTTGATTTAACCAATGTACTTTCTCACAGGTCTAAGATGTCCTAATTTATTTTGACACGTTACTTTAGACTTTGTTGTTTTATGACCCAATACATGGAGGCTTACAAAGTGAAATATAGAACGACGTGTTCTCACTTGCTGTGTTCTGAACTTTTATCCGGATAATCCGGGGCTCGTACATTTTCATAACACCATTACTTTTTTATTTTCCCTGCAAAGGCAGTGTAGAAATATGTCATGATGCCACTGTAGTCAGATTTTCTCTTTTGAATTGTCTCAAACTGATCTAATCCTGACCATCCATTTCTTGTTCAACATACAATAGACTACCTATACACATTGGTGCTGAGAGAGAGAGAGAGAAGAAGAGAGACTGAAAGAGAGAGAGAGCGAGTGTGTGTGTGTGTGTGTGTGTGCGCGTGTGCGTGTGTCTTCATGCACCCCTTGCTAATGAAAGAAAGATTGCCACTTAAGTCATTGACTTGTACTGAAATTGCATAAACTGCCTGCTGTAGTCATGGAACCCATTCATCTTTTCATTAAACATTAATCCTCATAGGATTACATTATCATATGGCCTATTAAAATGAATGAGGCTGCGGCTGTAGACTCCAGTGTTGGGAGGTTAACAGTCTGGTACAGGAGAGAGAGAAGAATGATTGGGTACATCTCAATACTCTAAAGACGTTTCCTCCCGTTGTATCCAGCTTTCCTTCAACTGCACTGATCTGAAACAACTGGACAAGAGAAAGCAAGTCATTTTGATAGGCCTGTCTCTGCCACTTTGCCTTCAGCTATCGCGTCTGTTCAGTGCAGATGAGTGAGCGGAAACGAGGATAGGAAGCCATTTTAGAGTATTGAGTTGCAGTATGAGAATGAGGCCAGTGACCAGGGGAGGGCCAGCAGTTCAGAACAGAAAGATATGACAGACAGGCTGAGTCCCAACAGTCTAAAACAGCATCCTTCCCTCATGTTCTGTCCTTCATGATCACTGGTCTTAAAGGAACTTGAAGGAACTTCGGT